ACTTACGAGCTGTGTGATCTTGGTTGAGTTTCTTTGTCTCTCTGAGCCTGTTTCTTCACTTACCTTGGTTTAATAACACCCACACCTCAGAGAGTTAAGGTCAAGTTCAAGTGAGATAATATATATGAAAATCCCTGACACAAGGCTAAATATTAAACCAAAAAAAATGCAAAGGAAGGAAATAAGAGCTCAGCAGCCTCTACCAGGGCTCCTGTTTTCCTCCGGAGGACAAAGCAACTTCAAGCAGAGGGCACTGGGAAAGGAAGGGGGTTGCTTATCTAGAGATCACAAACTGGACTCACTCTTGTACTTGAGGCCATAGCTGGGGTCTCAGAGAGAACAATGGGGTAAAGAAGCCTAAGTTTGAATCCAGACTTGACACTGCCAAGCCTGGGGCCTCCTTTGGATCATTTATCAAAACAAGATGCTGGCTGAGATAAATGGTCATGGCCTAAGAGTAACCACCCCTTACATCTGCATAGGCCTAGGTAGTTTCCAAGGGGCCTTCCCATCCATGATCTTGGAAGCTTCCAAAACAGCCCAGTGGAGTAGAAGGCAAAAGTCTTGTTTGTATAAAATACATATGTGAAAAAAAATACAAGTATAAAATACATATGTGAAAAAAAAGCACAGACCCTAAGAGTTCACATTGATAAATTTTCTCATCATGAACACACTTGTGTAACAAGCACCCAAATAGAGAATTAGAACTTGAGTAGTCCCTCCTCATACCCACATTCAGTCACTACCCTACAACCAACAAAGGCAAGTGTTGCCCTGACTTTTAACAGCAAACAGTAGGTTTCCTTGGTTCTGAACTGTATATAAATAGAATTGCATAGTATGTACTACTTTGTGTCTGGCTTTTTTATTGTGGAAAAATACATATAGAATTTACCATTTTCACTTTTTTTTTTGAGATGGAGTTTCATTCTTGTTGCCCAGGCTGGAGTGCAATGGCACAATCTCAACTCACCGCAACCTCCGCCTCCTGGGTTCAAGCAATTCTCCTGCCTCAGCCTTCTGAGTAGCTGGGATTACAGGCATGTGGCACTATGCCCAGCTAATTTTGTATTTTTAGTAGAGAGGGGGGTTTCTCCTTGTTGGCCAGGCTGGTCTCAAACTCCTGACCTCAGGTGATCCATCCGCCTTGGACTCCCAAAGTGCTAGGACATTTTAACCATTTTTAAATGTAAAGTTCTGTGGCATTAAGTACACTCACATTGTTGTGTAAGAACATCTGTCTCCAGAGCTTTTTCATCTTCAACTGAAACTCTGTGCCCATTGACCACTAACTCCCCATCCCTCTCTCCTTCCCTCTGCCAACCACCATTCTACTTTGTCTCTGTGAATTGCTACTCTAGGTACTTTTATGTAAGTGCAATCTTATATTTGTTCTTTTGTGACTGGTTTATTTCACTTAGCATAATGTCCTCAAGGTTCATTCATGTTGTAGCATGTGTCAGAATTTCCTCCTTAAGGCTGAATAATATTCCACTGTATGTGTAGATGATATTTCGTTTATTCATTCATCCATCAATGGATGTTTAGCTTCATTTGCCTGTTTGAGAGATACTGCCATATTGTTGCATGTAGTGAGAGACTGAATGTACAAATGGACAATGCCAGAATATATATAAAAATATAGAACTTTGACCCACAACCTCCAGTAAACTGTCCTGGAAACCAACCTCATAGCTACAATAAATAGCCCAGGTCGCCAACCTGCTGTAAGTCAGACTTGCAGGAAGCCAGATTGCTATCTCCAGTGGCAATCCAGGAAGCTAAACAATAACTTCTGTAACAATCAAGCCAAAATGGTCAGGACTTGATTACTAATTGACAGCTTCCCCAATTTTTGGCCCCACTTCCAACTTAAGACCAAACAGAGAAACCAAATATGCACCCTAATCAATCACATAGGATGTCCTGCTTCTAGTTAGCCTACCTACAGCTTCCCAAGGCCAACAGCTTCCAACAGGGCATCCCTGAAGCCTTCCTGTTTTTCTTCTATAGAGCTTTCCCTTTTCTTTGCCTGCCTTTGAGTCTCTGCCAAAGTGCAAGTAACAGTGGCTGATTTCTTTGTTGTAGGAAGCTCACAATAGCCTTTTGCTTATTTCCACAGTAGCTAAAGTTAGCTCATTCTCATTGTTGTATAGTATTCCACTATGCAAAGCTATGTAATTTATTTTTGATGTCACTGGGCATCCGGATGTTTTCTGGTTTGGCAAATTATAAATAATGCCATTATGAATATTCTAGTATATGTCTTGTGGTAAAAAGGCATACCCACTTCTGTTGAGAAAATACCTAGGGAAGGAATCGCTAGGCCATGAGTATATTCACCAGTACTCAAGAGTTCCAGTTGCTCCATATCATCACCAAGACCTAGCATTTCTATTTCTTCCATTTTAGTTATGGTGGGTACACGGTAGTAATGCATTAAGGTTTTAATCTGTACAGTTGCCCCTTGGTATCTGTGCTGAATTGCTTTCAGGAACTCTGATGGATACCAAAACCTGCATGCAGATGCTCAAGTCCCTAATATGAAATGTCCTAGTATTTGCACATCTTCCTGTATACTTTAAATCATTTCTAGATTACTTATAATACCTAATATGCTTTGTAAAATACCTAATGTAAATGCTATGCAAATTACTGTTATGCTGTATTGTTTAAGGAATAACAAGAAGAAAGGCAGACACAATTTTTTTCTTTTTTTTTTCTTTTGAGATGGAGTCTCACTTTGTCACCCAGGCTGGAGTGCAGTGGCGCAATCTTGGCTCTCTGCAACTTCCACCTCCTAGGTTCAAGTGGTTCTCCTGCCTCAGCCTCCTGAGTAGCTGAGATTATAGGTGTGCCATCATGCTGGCTAATTTTTGTATTTTTAGTAGACACAGGGTCTCACCATGTTGGCCAAGCTGGTCTTGAACTCCTGACCTCAAATGATTCACTGGCCTCGGCCTTACCCTCCCAAAGTGCTGGGATTACAGGCGTGAGCCACTGTGCTGGGCCATTTTCTTTCCTAATATTTTTGATCTGTGGTTGGTTGATGTAGAACCCATGGATATGGAAGGCTGACTGTATTTTCCTGATGACTAAAGTTGAGCACTATTTCATGAAGGTATAGTTTCAAAATGCGTTAAGTCTATCATGCCAGTTCCTTGCTTAAAAATCTTTGACGGCTCTCCATTGCATCAGGAATAATACCCAAACCCCTTCCCATGGACCACAAGGCCCTGAACACTCTTGCCTTCACCCACCTTGTACACACTGTTCCAGCCATGGAAGAATCCTTCCATTTTTCCAACAAGCCAAACTTTTGTTCTTATCTCAAGGTCTTTGTTCTTGCTGTTCCCTCAGCCTGGCTGGCTCCTTCTTATCTTGCAGGTCTCATTATAAATGTCGTTTCTCCAGAAGCGCCATTTATCACTCTACATAAAGCCACCACTTTCTACACATACACACACACACACACACATTACTCTCAATCCCATTTCCCTGTTCTTTTCTTTTTGCAGTACTTCATCATTCTCTGAAATTACATGTGTTTACAAGTTACATGGAATTTCTGTGAATACAACAGCTACAGATCTAAACTCATCTTGAACTAGTGACTCAAAAATCACAGCCATTGATGATGTGGTTTTCCGAAATGGAGAACAACTCTTAGTAAAGTTCCGAACAAAACAAACTGCAAATGTCTCTCCACTCTTCATAGTTCATTCTTGAAAAAACAGTAAAACCTTATAAAAAGCACTTTGTGTTTACATTTAAATGAACTTTGGTTTAGTATCACATGTTTATAAACAAAATTTTCACCAAAATAAATAACCAGTGGAACACCTGAATGTTGTGCTGGACACTGGACAGATATTTGTTATACAGGACTGTCCCAGAATGCATTGCAGACCATCTAGTAAACCTACCCCTGCCCATTAAATGCTGGTAGGGCTCCTCAATCGCTATCACAGCAAAGCACCCCCTCGTGGGCAGTACTGTACACTGTAAAAATCAATGTGTCCATAGAAAGGGTACACTACTATAAGAGTGTGTGTGAGAAAACAAATGAGGTCATCTACACGGCTCTACATTGTTCCTGGCAGATAATAAATAAAACTTACTTCACCCCTCCCTCTTTCCTTCATCTGGCCGTAGGTTCTCAGTGTGATCAATAGGGAACATCTGTCATCAACTCTGGCAACAAGAAGGAAGGTACACTAAATATTTCAGGCAGTGAGGCAAGTAAATTAGGCAACTTTCACACTTATCACCCCACTCCAAGAAAGGCCCACAGAAAAACATGACAGTTACACACACTGACTGTAGAACTATTCTATTAAATACTGTAGAGCAACTTGACTCAAGAGACCTACACTTACTTTTCATTGTAACTCTATTGCCTCTGCTGTGGGGTCAACTTTAAAGACTGAAAAAAACCCCAGGGTTAGGCTGGCTAAGAAAGGGCAGGAACCTGCTGCTGTACCTCTGAATGCTGCATCACATCTGGCCTGGCTTCATGCAGCAGCAAATGGGGATGAAGGATTCTAAGGTGATTGACATCTCACACTAGATGCTTTATACAGGCATGTTCTTCTGTCCAGGATGCTTTCTCTCCCTTACTTTCTACTCTTTATTAATCTAGGCATCTCTTCTTCTATTTTAAAGTTTCAAGGTATATTATCTCCTCTAGAAGAGTTTCCTTGGACATCCCAGCAGAACCGTCACTCACTCTTTTGCGTATCTACAGGTCACGTGTCTTCTTCTACCATGGTATGTTCAATATTGTCTGTTTTTGTGCTTGGCTAACTTCCCAAATGCTCTGCAAGGATGGTGTCTGGTTCATCTTTATATCCCTGACAAACTAGCTCAGTACCCTGGCACACAACAGAAGCCCAACAAAAGTTTACCTATCTTTCCCCGACTTTGGATCTCAGAATAAACACCACAGAGTCGATGTCACGAAGATTTTTCACAACACAGTTATCCAGGCTCATTAATAAGGGTTTGCGGTCCAAAGGACAGTTTATTTAAAACAAAGGTGATGAGGTATAGGAAGAAGAAAGGAGAACAACAATTCTAACATAAACACATAGGAAGCAACTCAAACTTAAAAAAAAAAGGAGTGGGGGCAATGGAGGAAGCTATGTCTCATACTTATACAAACTGCTGACCTCAATTGATTACTTACATCCAAACCTTACAAAATAGGCATTTCAGGTCAACACTTAAGCCAGTGTTATTAGATTTTCTTACAAAAAGTTAAAGCTACAAACTTCACATTTTTAAACTGTACATAGCAACAGCATTTAAGCTTGTTTTTTCCCAAGTTGGTCTGAGTGCAAGCTGGTAAAAGAGATTTTTTTTCCTAACACAAACAAGAACATGTATTCCAAAGACAATGAATATAATACTGATGAAAACACAAACATAGTGCTTAAGAAAGGATGGGGTGAGGTGTAGATGTAATTGGGCAGAAACAATTTTGCAGTAAGTAAGGAGCTGCAATCTCTAGAGGCAACATGGTACGCTAGAAAGGGCACTGGAATAAGAATCAGAAGATCTGGATTTCAATCCTGGCTCTGCCAGTATTCTAGCCACATGACCTTGAGCAACAGACTTTACCTCTCTGAGCCTCAGTTTCCACATCTATAAAATGAGGATAATAATACTTATATCTATCAGCACTATTAAGTTTCTGTAGATATAAGGCTATTCAGACTATCTATTTCTTCTTTATTTGAGGGAGAGAGGGTCTCCTTCTGTCACTCAGGCTGGAGTGCAGTGGTGAGGCCATGGCTCACTGCAGCCTCAACCTCCCCGGACTCTGGTGATCCTCCCACTTCAGTTTCCTGACCAGCTAGGACTACAGGTATGCACCACCATGCCCGACTAATTTTTTTTTATTTTTTGAAGAGACAGTATTTTGCCATGTTGCTCAGGCTAGTATCCATTGAATGAACTTTGGTACTTTTTATTTTTCCAAGGAATTTATCTATTTCACCTTTGAAGTTGTTAAATTTATTAGCATAAAATTATTCATAATATTCTATTAACTTTTTAATATCCATAGGATGTATCATGATGTCACCTCTCTCATTCCTGATATTGAAAAGACCTACTGAGTTTTACATGGTATAACTTTCTGGCATCTAATAGGTGCTAAATAAATGTTTCTTGGATCAAAATCTACAGTCTCAAGGAGTCAAGGCTACAATTTTTAAGGTGCTTCAGATGACTGGTTCTATCTATTTATCAATACGTCTGTCTATCCACTCATCCACTCATCCATGCATCCTCCCACCCTTCCTCTTCCCCATCAAACTTTCATTCATCCAATTGGTGGCTTGGGGAAACGGACAAAAAAGGGGAAAAAAAGGACTGTGCTTCAAAATTACTGAAGGACCAACTAAGATATTCTTAAAGAATTCTGAGATGTCTTTAAAGACAGAATCAGGTCATTGTTTCTTGAAAGCAGAGAACAAGCAAGGACCTTGAAGTTCCCTGGAAGCTCGAGTTGCAAATGCTCAAGCAATGACTGAAGCCCAGGGCTCAATGAAAGCAAGCTGGTATATCTTAAATTTAGTATTCAACAACAACAACAAAACTAGGACTTGCTCCGTTGCCTTTCTGTCACTAGAAAACAAATATTCCTTGTCAAGAAATTTCTCTGATCCAAAACAAATTGACTTCTGGCCAAAAGTCTCCATCTAGCTAGACTGGTAAGCAACAGACTGCTGGATCAGCAAGCTGGATGCACATATGCTTGAAACAAAACAAACTCCAGATCAAAGTGCATGACCCAAGAATAGTTATGAGGGAAAACTGAACTTTCTTTTATTTGGATTTAGCTTAGGAAGGGAGAAAATGGGCTTTCTCTTCCTGTCTGGCCAATTGCAAAGTTCTTTGTTTAAAAAAGAAAGAGAGGCCAGGTGCGGTGGCTCATGCCTATAGTAATCGCAGCACTTTGGGAGGCCAAGGCAGGTGGATCACCTGAGATCAGGAGTTGAAGACCAGCCTGACAGACATAGTGAAACCCTGTCTCTACTAAAAACACAAAAAATTATTCAGGTGTAGTGGTGCATGCCTGTAATCCCAGCTACTTGGGAGGCTGAGGCAGGAGAATTGCTTTGAACCTGGGAGGCAGAGGTTGCAGTGAGCCAAGATCACACCATTGCACTCCAGCCTGGGCAACAAGAGCGAAAATCCATCTCATAAAATCAAAAGAAAAAAGAGAGAGACAGAACTATTAATTTGCACAGCAAATGGTGCAGGAGTGTGCATCCTGGATGCTTTGGTTTTTAAAACTTACTTGGCAATCAGACTTTACTAATTCAGCTGTCTTTCCAACCTAAAAATGCCAGTTAGAGTTATTTAGTCTATGCAAGAAAAGTGGTCACTTCATTTTAAACAGACTTGTGACTTTCCTTTTTCCTATAAATACTGATCCCCTACAGTGATGTTATGAGTTCTGATTCTATCATTTACTAGCTGCAGGGCCTTGGGAAGGAATCTTTCTCTCTGAACCCATTTCTTCATCTATGAAATGGAGATAAAGTAGTTAAGTCACAGGGTTACTGTGAAGTGTAGAGCCTACCCAGCTCAAGGCCTGACATATAATAGGTGGTCAACAAATGGTAACTGCCATTTACTATTCCAGCAGGATCCTCAAATTGTCCTCTATTTTCTGTATCTGCCACATAGCTATTTCAGTGGCCAAGCCCTGAAGACTAACAACTGCCTCTTGCATATTTTAAAAACTTGCTTTAATTGCAAATAACAGAATCTGGCCACAGAAGAGGCACATTCCCTGCCTTTCCATTGATTCCCAGGTTTCAGGAGCAAAAGCAATTATGGAGTCAAATTACAGTATCCTTAGGTGCAACCCAGTGATGATTCCCCATCTGAGGGAAAGAGGTACTGGAAGAAAATAAAAAGATATTTGTCTTCCCCAATTATCACAGAACTTTGCTGTGTGACAAAACACCATGTGGCATTAAGCCAAAGTTGCAGGAAGATGGCCCTATGCTGTCTTTTGCAAAGCCCTCTGATCTGCTTCAGGCCGGAAACCTGCCTCTGTGGGTGCTTGTCTGCTATTACGGCAGATGTTGCAGAGCTCAAGAAGTTGCTGAAACTGAATGATCTGGCTCATCTAGGGAATCTCTTTACAGCCAGGTCACCTACTGAAGAGCCAAGGCAAGAGCAGGTTTCTGTTAGCAAGGTTCTGCTGGGACAATTAACTAAAACTGACACAGGTCTCTTCCCCCAAAGAAGGGGCTGCATGTTTCAGTGGCCTAGGAATGAGGACCCTGAATTCTAGTCCCAGCTTTTATGCTAACTTGCTTTGTGGTTTTTGCCATGCCGCTTCCCCTCTCTAAGCCTCAGTTTTCTGATCATCTGTACAAGAGGGTCAGATCAGATGACCTCTAACATCCCTTCCAACTCTGACATTCTGTGTTCAGGTTGAACCTCCTGGAGAACAAATCTTAGTCTAATATTCATGTATCCTTTCCAGCCTGCTTAGCAGTAAAAGAGAAAAGAAAACAGTCACATATTTGAATGTGGGTCAGAAAAGCAACCCCCTCTACCCCTGTCTGTAAGGAATGTGGAGCAAAATGCCACGTGTATGATTTTTTACATGAACAATGAGAGCTTTGAAAACCCTTTCCCTTTGTGGACTGAACACAGCCCTGTGTTTGCTGAGAGTTCCTGATAGGCCTATCCCCTCCGTGGATCATTCTCCTCTTAAGGCACTGGGCAATATCTGTGTTGTGACTTTAGGCAGCTGAGAGAGTGGAGATGGATGAAAGGCGTTGAAAGAGCAAAGGTCAATTTGCAAAGAGGGTGCCAGGCTTCTCCTGGGACTCAAAGAGTAAATACAGACTCTCAAAGCTTTCCCTTGGACATCACCAATAGCTCCAGAAGCCAGTGATGACCACACAAGGCTGAAACCATGGTAAAAGAACTGTCCTAAACCTAATTTTTAAATGTAGCTTTTAAAAGGGGGAGGCTGACTCCTGGGATTCAGTGACCCCCTAACAGCCTCCCAATGTCCTCTGCTCTCATGTTCCACAGTACCATAATCTTACAGAAAAGAGGCAAACTGTTTAAAACTGTACCTGTACAGAGATGCCACCACACTGAGTGGGGAATCTATTTATAATTTATATATATATATGCATATTTATATATTTTTTAAAAATCTTCCAGAAAGAACAATTGAAAGCTCTTGGGAGAAGAAAAACAAAAAGACAATGTAAAACTTTCCCAGCTATCACTCAACTAGAAGTCTCTGTTCCTGGGGTTTAAAACTCTGAGTTGATAGCGCCAATATAAATCCTTTGAAATAATATACCTGACCAATGTACATACACACATCAAGATGGCACGCTGACTGTCAAGAGAGCCCTTCCCACTGGCGCACATTCCTGAGTTCACAAAGGTGCTGTGGAGAAATGACAGAGCAGAAGTTCTGGCTAACAAATGTGAGGGAAGCCATCTAGAATTCACCACAGCCTGGGTGGAGCTGGGCCCTCACAGCCTGGCCTTGCTCAGAAGTTTTGCTGCCGCCTCTTCTTAGCCTCAATGGCATCCAGGATGGGCTGCCGCTTGGACTGGTACTTCTGCCGGATCTCTTCAATCTCCTGCTCCATCATGGGGTCCAGGGCCAAGAGCCTCTTCTGAAGGTCCTCCACTGTCCAACTCTTAAGCTAGAAGAGAAGTGGAAAGTATAGTCACGACGAAGCTTAGGCCAGTGGCAGAACAGTGGCGAAGCCTGCCTTCCCAGGCACCCAGAAGGAAGGGAGACGGGAAGACACTGCTGGGTGGTGGTGGTTGGAAAGTGACAATTCATTCCAAAGAATGGCATACCTTGAAGCTTGTCTGAGATTATCTATCCCTGGAAAAGTTCTAAGTGCTAACCTTTTTGATTTAATGTACCTTGACCAGGAACTGAGTGAATAATACTCTTACCTCCACTAGCTTTTAAATTAATTAAATATAGATTCATTGTTAGGGCATTAAAATAACAGTAACTTGCTGTACGTGAAATAGTGGTTGCCTCCCCGTTCTTGTGCTGTCCACAAGATGAGCATCTGGACAGCGCCCTTCACACTTTCAGGATACGACACCACGGAGGATGGACGCTGACGAGACGCAGATGCCTGCCCCTAACCCTGCCTTCCCACACCCCCAATGTCTCGGCACTGCCATAATATCATCACCAGCATTCATTTGAGGCTACTATATAGCAGGTAACACTCTAAGCCACTTGGGAATACAGATGCAACCCTTGGCAGGGGTTGGAAATAAGGGTGGGTAGTTGGAAAAACCTGAAACTTCTGAGATCAAGTTTCTATCAAGCAGAGAAAAAAAGGACTTGATACATAAATTAATAATAATGGCTGGCATTTAGTGATTTCTATGCACCAGACACTGAGTGCTTTACATATATGGATTCCTTTAATCTTTTTAGCAACCCATGCTATGAGGACATTATTATCCTTATGTTATAGATGAACAGCCCAAGGAGGAGGATAGCTAAGTAACCTGCCCAATGTCTCCCAACTAGTAAGTGGCAGAGTCAACACTGAAATCCAGGCAGTGTGGCTCCAGAGTCAATGCTCTTAACCACTGGTACAGAAGAGCAGACTAGCAAAGCACAGGTTTTAGAACTAACTCAACCTTTGTTTAAAATGTGGTTCTGCCTGTTGCAGATGCCATAAGACTCTGACAAGTTACCACTCTCTCCAGGCCTTCCCCATCTACGGAAGTGGGACAGCAGTGCCTCATCTTATTTAATTATAAGAATTAAATGAGATCATGGCTGTGAAGTTCTCAGCACAGTACCTACGACACTGTGTGTAAAGATGGCAGTGGGTGTTATAAGCCTCTCTCTTCATAAAGGCCCAGGGGTGCACCAGTGTTCAACCTGTGTCTGCAGCTGTGGGGTAAGGGGCTCTGCTGCCATGTGTGAAGTGCTCACTGATTCCAAGTGGGCCAGTCTTGGCTGTCAGGGGTGGGAATGAATGCTGACATTATTCACAGTGGGTGGTGATACTTTATTCTGTGTGTTCACAACCAGTTTTAATAGGTACAGTGTTTCAAGAACTCAAAGGCTCACCCAAGTCTTACAAGAGGTCTGCTGTGTCCACATTTAGAAAAATCATGATCCTCAGCCCCTTCCTGTGGCCTCAACAGGAAAGCAGCACAGAAGCTGGGTGAAGGAGCCTCTTTCTGTCTACCCTTCCTTGAGTGGGTGGGGTGTGAGCAAGTATGAAGTGCTACAGTGGCCTTCCTAGAAATGACCTGTCACCACAGGAATTTTCCTTGGGCTGCTTCAGGGAGGGTGTCTGAGAAGTGAGAAACCCTAATAGTTCAAGACGAAAGGTTCTTTGTAATGTAAGGATGGAAAGACTTGAGAGTGTGGGTAAATACTGGAAAGCTGGGCTGAAAAAAAAAATGCGTCTTTCCAGTCTGTGGTTTTATACTACCTTAGAGGCTGGTGTTCTTGGCCCAAGGACATCCCAAAGAGCGGTGCTTGCCTAATCTCTGGCATTTTCAATTCCTTCTGCAAAGAGAGAATTCCCCAAGCCTAATACTGAATGTAACGGGTAGTTAAGAATGTAATCTTCGGGATCACAGGTCCTAAATGTGCACTGGCTATTTAACCTTAAACAGTAATTTCACCTCAGTTTCCTCCTTTGGAAAACAGACAATACTAGTTTGTTCCTCTGCCCTTGGTCTGTACTAAGACTTAGATGAGATAATGGTGTGATGGTCTTAGCTCAGAACTTCACATGGTATGTGTTGGAGGGACAGTAAATATTCCATTTATGGAATACTATTGCCTAGTCTTTGGCATTTGGTACCACTCCTGGTACCAATTTACGTATTAATCTGTTTTAATACACAAGCTCTCTTCTTTTGTCTGCTACCATGTGAGACGTGCCTTTTACCGTGCCTACATTATGGAATGTAAATATTCCATAAATGGAAGTTATCACTGTTGTTATTGTTGCTATTGTTATTCATATTATTGTTATTGTATATATGATTGGTAAGTCTCTTATCTTCCATAAAGAAGCTGTTTCTATAACCTCTAATTCAAGCTAGAATCAAACGTGAAAAAGAAAATATTCTATTCTATTTTGTGCTAATGCCTAAGGACTGGTACATAATTCCTGTTAACTTATGTACAGTTTAACAAAGTAGTTTTCACCCATCCACTTATAAATACTCATTGAGCACCTACTATGGGTCAGGTGCTGTTCGAGGCACATAGGCTACTTCAGTGAAAACAAAACAAAACAAAATCACTGCCCTTGTGAAGCTTACATTTTAGTGAAGCAAGGAAAACAGCAATAAACACATCAAATTAGTAAATTATTTTTACACTAGAAGGTACTCTGGAAAAAAAGAAAATAAAAAATAGCAAGAAGGAAGGGGAGCTGGGAATTAGGAGGGTAGACTTGCCTTTCATCCTGCCACTAGGATGAAGAGTAAATTGCAAAATGAAGAAGTGCACGTTAGTGGAGCTGCACTGACTTTGCAACTTGTTCAGCCACTTGGTCAAGCCCCTTCTCCTCCTTAGACCTTAAATTCCCCATTTGTGAGAGAGGGCTGACTAGATGATCTCAGAAGTCTTTCCAGACTCAGTGTTTCTCAGTGTATGATCTATGGATCACTTATATCAGAATCACTTGCTAAAAATACAGATTCCTGAGCCCCTAGCCAAAGCTACTTAATCAGACTCCGTGGGAGGTGAAGCACAGGATTTTGCATTTTAAAGAAGCTACACACGCTGGGCATGGTGGCTCATGCCTGAATTCCAGCACTCTGGGAGACCTAAGTGGGAGGACTGGTTGAGCCCAGGAACTCCAGACCAGCCTGGGCAACATAGTGAGATCCCATTTCTATGGGGGAAAAAAAATTAGCCAGGTGTGGTGGTACACAGTCCCAGGTACTCCAGAGGCTGAGATGAGAGGATTGAGCTCACTGTGAGGCCGCAGTAAGCCTTGATTGAGCCACTGCACTCTAGCCTGGGAAACAGAGCAAGACCTTGTCTCAAAAATAAATAAAAATAAAATATATAAGCTATATAGGTATTTCTTATAAATCCTCAAGTTTGATAAACATGACTCTGTATCTTCCTTTTCTGTTAGTAAAATTCTCACAAAGTATTGCTGCCTGTCTCTGGTCTAAAGCTTCTCCTGGGTTTCCAATTTCTAGGCAGCTTTGTTGCCCTTGATTCTAAGCTGGAGGCAACATGCACCCTTGCTTGTTGCCACCTTCAGACTAATTTATGGCTGTCCTAAGAACTTTGGGGCTTAAGTTACATCTGACCTATTAGAACACAGCCAGCCAGGCACTGCTGATGACTCAGTCACATCATCCAGATATGGATTTTTCCGAAAAACAAGCTCAGGCAATAGTTCTATGGCGCCACGTGTAGCATTTCACCTTCCTGGTCCTTGGTGGCATAAATACATTTCAAACGGATATCTTATAGTAAAATAACTGTGATTCTACAGTTTTGCTACAGCCAGAATCTTGAAGCAGCAAATTCTCAACCAGCCATGTAAGAAGCTTGAGGTGTTTCCACCAGGTATGGGAAATATCCACTCAGTATCTCATCTCTCCCATAGGATTCGAACATCCTCTTTATTCTGTGATTCCCATACTCCATACTTGCATATCTAGATCAGCTCCTGATTATCAGTCCCTCATTATCTCAGGAAAATCTATGATATGGTTTGGCTGTGTCCCCACACAAATCTTATTTTGAATTGTAGCTCCCACAATTCCTACATGTTGTGGGACGGACGCGGTGGGAGGTAATTAAATCTCGGTAATTAAATAGCATGGGTGGGTATTTCCCATACTATTCTAATGATAGTGAATAAGTCTCATGAGATCTGATGGCTTTTTTTTTTTTTTTGGGATGGAGTCCGGCTCTGTCACCCAGGCTGGAGTATAGTGGCACAATCTCGGCTCACTGCAACCTCTACCTCCTGAGTTCAAGCAATTCTCCTCCTCAGCCTCCCAACAGCTGGTATTACAGGTGCCCATCATCACGCTCAGCTAATTTTTGTATTTTTAGTAGAGACGGCGTTTCACCATGTTGGCCAGGCTAGCCTTGAACTCCCGACCTCAGGTGATCCGCCCATCTCAGCCTCCTAAAGCGCTGGGATTAAGAGCATGAGCCACTGTGCCTGGCCAATCTGATGGTTTTATAAAGGGGAGTTTCCCTACACGAGCTCTCTTCTTGTATCTGCCGCCATGTGAGATGTGCCTTTCACCTTCTGCCATGATTGTGAGGCTGCCCCAACCATGTGGAACTGAATCCATTAAACTTTTTCTTTTGTAAATTGCCCAGTCTTGAATATGTCTTTATCAGCAGCATGAAAACAGATTAATACAGTAAATTGCTACCAGGAGTGGGTGCTACTGAAAAGGTACCTGAAAATGTGGAAGTGACTTTAGAACTGGGTAACAGGCAGAGGTTGGAACAATTTGGAGGGCTCAGAAGAAGACAAGAAAATGTGGGAAGGTTTGGAACTTCTTAGAGACTTATTGAATGGCTTTGTCCAAAATGCTGATAGTGATATGGACAGGCTGAGGTGGTCTCAGAGGGGAATGAGGAACTTGAATTAGAAGAGACAACAAGCAACTGGAAGAAACCTGAAGGGTTTCTGGAAATGGGAGTCTA